TTTTTTGGTTTTTCTCCGGTACCGGGAACCGAACTCACGACCTTGCACTTGCCAGGCAGGCGCTTTGCCGCTGAGCTAAATCCCCAGCCCCTATTTATGTCATTTAATACCAAAAATTTACAGCATACTTTCTTTTCTCCTGACCTTTGTGCTATTGTTGTCATATATTTTACTTCTACTTATAATAAAATCTCCATAATACATTGTCATTTTTAATAGTCTCCCTTCTACTTCCATGTCATCTTTAGATAGATAGATAGATAGATAGATAGATAGATAATAGAGAGATAAATAGATAGATAATATACAGGTAGATAGATTTTTTCTTTAGATTTCACATGAGAGAAAATATGCCTAATTTATTTAAATTAACATGTCAATTATCTTTAAAGACAGCTAAAACTAAGAAGGAAAAAAAAACTTGTTTTCCATGGTACTAAATCCATTGTGAAGTTCTAGATTTCTACCTGGTATCAATTCCTTTTTGCCTGATGGACTTTTTTATTAAGACTTTATGCTTCTTATACTTCAAACTTATCTGGTGATGATAAAGTCTTTCACTTTTTGTATTTCTGAATACTGTTCATACTGCCCTTGTTTTTGGAAAATACTTTGACGGGGTATATAATTCTAGTTTGAAGAAACTTTACTTTCTTTACTTTAAACATGTCGCTTCACTGTGCTCATGTCTACGTGCTTCTTCCAGTACGTACACTACTGTCGTGTATTTTTCCTACATGTGTAAGATGACTAACTCTGAGTTTTTAAAAACAATTTCTCTGTCACCAGTTTTAAGCAATTTTGCCATCATATGCAGTTTGTAATTGTCTTTAGATTTCTTTGGATTGGTATTTTTGAGCTCCTGTAGGTTTTTAGTGTTTTGCGCACTTGACAATATTTGGCCGCTATATACCTTCAAAAGTTTTCTTCCATTCTTTTTCCTTCCTTTGGAGACCATATATATCCGGTCTAAACTGTCCCACATTTCACTGTTGCTCTATTAATCTGCTACCTCTGTATCAAATATTGTTAAGCAATTACTTGTATTATCTCATTTTCTTTCACAGCAAACACGAGTTAGGTGATATTATCACCTCATTTAGGACACTAAAGTTCACATGACTGGCTCAAAGATTTTATAATTGTTATAACTATTGTAATCTAGGCAATTTAACTTCAGAACTAGAAATTACTTCTACCTGTTAAAAAAAGAGAGGGCAAATAACATCTAAGGGAAGCTCTGCAGACCAAATGCACATACCCTTTGTTTGTTTCAGGGATTTCCTGTTCAACACATCTCAGAAGCAAAATCTGGTCCCGATTCGTAAACAGTCTTTCCAAGTCCCTGTACTGGTCTTTCTAAAATATTCAAAGTGCCTAATACTATCATCAACTCTGAATTCTAAGCCTTCCGTGGTGCCCCTTCTACTGTTCATCCCAGGTTCCAGGAAGAGCTGACAGGGTAACTGGAGTCTGCCTCAGTCCAGGAACCACTCTACCAAGTCAGTCCTAGACCTTTCATCTGTTACTGTAAAACTTGGGGCACATACCTTAAAATCCACTGTTGCCTCTCTCATTGCTTGGATATGTTTTGGTATCTGTCCAACTCTGAAAGCTCAGAAAGGAGCGCTTGCCCAAAGAGAAATGGTAAGTGCTGAAAGGGCCCTTGACATGTGTAAGAAACAGTTCATCATGAGCCACTTAATGGCCAAATAAAAACTTATTTGTATCATAACGAGACTGAAAGTATGCTTCCAGAAGTCCATAGGCAAAGGTAAAAATTCTTAAAGGAATTCAGACATGGGTAAGAGTCACTGTATGATTCATCCCAAGGCAGATTCCTCTCCTGCTGTGAGCCTGTGATATCAAACAAGTTACGTGCTTCCAAAACACACCAGTGGGACAGGCGAGGAACGGACATTCTCACTACAGAAGGGAGCAATACAAAGTAGAGAGTAACAGTCCTGAGCAAGTAAAAAACAAAAAACAAAGCAAACAATCTAAACTCTTGAGGCTTGAGAACGATCTCCTTTGACCCCCACCTTCTGGACATGCAGGGCAAAGGATGGCGGGCAGTGTACCACAGGCATCCCTACCCACATGGCTTCTTTACCCTTTACCTAGAACCAAAGGTGCTTCTGCATGTTTAAGTATTTATTAATAGCGATACCTCACCCCTAGTACCAATTTTGGCTCTTTTCATTTGTGCTACATTAACAAAATACCTTGGACGGAGTAATTTATAAATAATAAAAATTTATTTCTCACAGTTATGGAGCCTGAGAAATCCAACATCCAGATGCAACAGATTCAGTGTCTGGTGAGGATTGCTTTGTGCTTCCAAGATGGCCCCTGTTTGCGTGTCCTGCAGAGGGCAGACACCCTGAGAAACTGCCTCACACTGAGCAGGAGGCAGCCTCGCCTGAGCTCGGGGTCCTCCCTTCCCCGAACATTTCTGCCTCTGATGTTCCGCATTCCTTCCCGGAGCTAGGATAAAGATTATCAAAGCTCAAAGCTTTGAGATTGTTGGTTGTGAGTTTTCTTCTCATGAATTTTGTCCTCCTAAGGTATTGCTTCTATAATGTAATTTCTCAGTTAACAACTGGAAAGCAGTAAAATGCAAGAGCCATAGCCAGGTTATCCGTTAGCCTCTGCCTGATCTCAGGTGACCATAATGCTCCACTGACCCTCAGGGTTTGCACAGAAAACTAAGCCATTGCCCAAGGTTGCAGTCCTAGTTGGAAGTCACTTGTGCCTGAGATTTATTGCTCAAGCAAAGGGAGAATCAAAATGTTACTTAACTAGAACAAAGTCAAAATGAGATCATTGAATTGGGAAACAAACCTTTGAAGACTATGGTTGAGACTCAAAACTTACAGGTAAAACTTTTTTTGAGCTCATCAAAATTGAGCTTGAAGAATATGTGCATAGTGATTTTAAGTGCATACATATATGCACTTGGGTACATTGTGTGTATACATACATAGACATACATATATTTATCATATATGTATATGTGTCTCAAAATACTGTCTCTACAAATTCATATGAAAAAATGTAAACATGAATTAAACTGGAGTTAAACCAATTCTCTGAAGGATTTCAAGGTGGAATATATGAAATTTTGCCCCCAAATGATTTTACCTTAGCACTGTCCCTTCTAACAGAATGCTCAATTTAGTGGAGGAGTAATATTCCCTGCTAAAAGACGGTATTTTCCAACTTCCTTTAAAGATAGCAATGGAGATGTGTGGCAAAGTAGCAGACACAGCCTCTGAAAGAATCTTTTTGTGTCTTGCTTTCCCCTCTATCCTGGCTGATACTCAAATGTAATTACTGAAGCAATAATAGCCACATTGTAAACCAGTAGAAGAAAATCATGGGCTAAAAAGACAGAGGAAAGATCCAGAAATCTGGAAATCTGATGACTTTAGGGAGCTATCACACTGTTCAAGTACCACCTTGTTACTGTAAGATCACTATTTCTCAACAATAAATAACCCAATAGTGAACCAATCTGACATCTTTACTTCTCTGGTTCAGCAACGCAGTCATTTATTACTCAGCAATGTGGACACAGTCTGAGAAAGGCCAGGTCCATTAGAGGCCATTAGAATATTTCCTTTCTGTAAGAACTTCACTTCTATATACTTACATAGATGGTAAAAATCACTCACTGGGCACGCCTTTTGATGCAATCCAAGAGATGTAAACATGAGATACATGAGACTGCTGCCATCAAAAGAAGGCATACTATCATTATAGCAAAGCTTTCTTTTTGTGAGTAGAAAGGATATGTTTTAATGATAAAAGAAGAATGTATTGCATGCATAAACCTATTACATGGTTGTTTCTTACCATAATCAAGTATTATCTAATGTATACCAGCGTGTGTGCTATTCTTTTATACAACTGGAAGAACAAGTTCAATTGCACCAACTTCGTCACGTGCATGTGAATAATACTTGGCGAATGTGAAATTATGAAGAAAGTTTATGGGAACTGTTTTCAGTCCCAGTATGATCTTACGGGAGCAGTGATCATTGCTGACATCATTAAGTGGTACCTCACTGTTTATGGAGACACACTGTGAGTTACACCTCTCATTGGACCTTGGAAAAACAGAGAGTTGGACCAGTCTTTTCCCTCGCGCATGATGTTTGTGGCAACCTTTTTCACAAGTGTCAAAACTTGGAAGAAGCCAAGACATCCTTGAGCATGTGAATAGATAAATAAAGTGTAGTACGCCCAGACCATGGAATGTTACTTAGCAGTAAAAAGAAATGAGCTATCAAGCCATGAGAAAGTGGAGAACCCTAAAATGTATCATACTAGGTCAAAGAAGCCAGTCAGCAAAGGCTACATACTATGAGTCCAACTCTACAACGTTCTGGCAAAGGCAGCACTGTGAAGAGGGTGGAGAGACTGGGGTTCATCAGGGTTGGAGGGGAGAGGATGTGAGCAGGCAGAGCAGAGACTTTTAGGGCAGTGAGACTACTCTGTATGACACCATCGTGGTGGAGTCACCTCTACTCCAGGCGGCTCCGGGAGTTGAAAATACCGTACAGCACGTCTGCCACAAGCTGCCTTCTGTCAACACAGGTGAAGCAAAGTCAAATTCTCATGATCAACACACCTTCATCTGGCACTCAGAGAGATGCCAAAGGCGTAGGCAGACAAGTAAAACCAGAATCACTTAAGAGACAAGCTTGTAGCTGCTGAAGAGAGCTCCACTTGCTTCCTCCCCTGTAAGGACACCTGTGCCACCCGGTGCAGCCTTTCTGCAGGTAAGATTAAGTCTTCTGAGCCCTTACAAGAATATATGATGTATCTGCTGTTGAGAACCAGGCTTGCTGAGCACAATTTGGTACAGTTTCTAAGCAGCGGCGTGAACTAATTCTATGGTCATCTCCAATGTTTCTTTATTCTTCTTTTCTAATGATTTTTTTTTTTAGCAGTTTCCTAGCTGAAGCAGAACCCTAAACTACAGCGAAAAGCTTTCCATTCCTTGGCATGGAGAATCTTGTTAAGTGGCTGGCTGGCCTCAGACTCAAGGTCATCATTAGATAGGCTTTGGTGCAAGTAAAATGAAGACTAACATTTGCGTGGCATTTCGCAATCCGTCGAGGGCTTTGTTACCTTGAGTGTTTCACTTTGTGTAGTATTCCTAGAACACGGCTACTATAATCACTTCACAGAGATATAGACAACAGCTCAGAAACGCAAAACTTGCCCAGAGTGCTCACGTAAGATATAGCAGGGCCACTGGTTAAGTCTGTGCTTCCAACATGGAATTCCCCACAGGCTAGCTTTAAGGTCTGTGTAATGACGATACGAATGCTTTTTCCAATCTCCCATGAACCCTTTAGCCCGAAGCACTCAATTCTTGTCTAAAATAATGAAAGAAGTTCCTCAAGATTCAAAGCCCAATATACCAAAAGTTGTTCAGGGAAATTACATGGCTAGGTCAAGGGAGAGGTTCCACAGCCATTGAGTCTGGGCTCCAGTTCAGTTTCTGTTTATGACTGGTATAAGCTTTGGCAAGCTGCGTCCCCACACGAGACTCACTCTCACCACACAGGGCTATTTTGAGGACTGAATAAATAAGGCATGAAAAGTGCTATTTAGAACCTGTTCGTCCTAATCCTTCGTTTTTTTCTGACTGCTTTGTCCCCAAAACTGCCCAACTACCCACTTGGGAGCAATAATCTACACTGACTGGCACTTCCTCATAAGGGCTCATGTGTACTTTTCATTTTTTTTCCAAAATTGAATGCTTTTGGTGACTCTGAAAATATGTTCTCTAATCCAGCATTCATGTAAGTCATGACTGACTGGGAAAATGTCAAAACTTTTGTCCAACCTATCTATATGTTGCTGGAATTTATTAATTTTCATGGCACAAAAACTGAATTTCTTTCAAATCCCATTATCCCGGATAAATCCTATTATCTACCTTGAGAACAAACTTTCTTGTACAGAAAAGGTAAGAGGAAAAAACCTAATTTCTGTTTTCTATATAATAATCTTTTGGTCAGAGTGCCCTCTCTCTCATACCTCTGTTTGTTTTGCTTTGTTTTGCCTTTTTTAGAAATAATTTTCTTCTCTTAGTACTTGTTTGCAATACATAGTGAATACATTCATCGTGGGGAGCTGGTGCATACACCTCTCACATCTTAGTCTTTTTTCCTTCCCATTCCCCTATATTCCCTTTATTATTGGAATATATTTTGCTGGGGAATTATACTTGACCCACAAAAGTCTATATATATATAAGCTTGGATAAGAGTGTATTTTCTGTATCTTTATCTTATTCTTGTTTGGAAATTTGAAATCTGTATTAACCTTTAGTGACCATTAAGGTAAGTAAAAGTGTCTAATTTTTTCCAAGGGTATTATCTTTGGTTAATATTTTCCTTAAATCCAAACAGATTAATGGGAGATAATTATAATGTCTTCTCTCTTTACTACATCTTGAAGATAGACTTCTGGATAAAATTCAAGCGCAATCCTGCTTTTTGCTTCCCTCCCTTAGTGAGAACCAGACTCCTGTCACATAACCCAGGGACCAAGGCCTTGGTGAGATTGTTTCTGAGGCATCTACCATGTTACAACCCTGAGTTTACTTACCAAGCTCTACAGCTAGACTCTGTTGTCTCCCTTGAGGGTGAGAACTTTAAGTTAGCATTGTTAAACCTCAACACCTAATGTCTTAATACTAACTTGGTGTTTGTTTTTTCTTATGAAACCTACATAAATATTTTCAGTGATGTCATGGAAACAATGCTGTCTATATTATCTTAGTAGAAATTTCTAGCAAGACAGGGATAAGGGGACAGCCACCTGGATCTTTTATCCTTCCTTGGGCTCCAGGGATATTTCAAAGTTAATTCCTGACTGACTTAAAATGAAGAAGTAGTGCAAAGACAATTCTTTTCACCAGACTCAAGTTTTGCCCACTACTGGGAGTGAGAGTTGCTATGTTTCCTAGTATTTCACAATCTGAGTGAAGCCGTGGAGGGGGTTTAAGTTCATCCTCATTATTATTAATTGTGTGACCATGGATGGCTTACTTAGCCCTAGTGACACTCTTCTCACAACTGGAATCAGGGCAGCTACTGCAGTTGTTAAAACGACTTAATGTACTCTGAGGACTTCGAATTCTCCAGTCTGTGGAAGGAGTTCTACAGTATTATGACGATGGTATTGCTACCATTTATTCTTATCCTTACTCTTACTCTTACTCTTATTCTTATTGTAGTGGAGGTAATTATTTCTTTCAGTGGCTTTGGCTCATTTTAATATGGATTTTGTTCATGTTGAATGTCTACATAAAATGGTTGTGTAAGGAGATTCAAAGTATAACAACATGATTAACAAAAATCAATGAAGTGTCACCAAATTCAAAAATCCTCCAAAAAAAAAGGTGGCTCTGCAAAAAGGGCACACAAGCCCCAAGAAAAGCCTGTGCTATTGGTTTAGATTTGGATACCATTCAGAAGACCTCTGCCTGTTTTATTAGCCAGTTGTGTGACCTCTAATAGAGCTACTCAGTATTTATTGTTTGTGTTCTCAGCATAAAATAGAAATAATTACACATGGCCTGTCTCTACCAGAGAGATATCATGGGAGCAGGTTAAATGTATAAAAGCTTTATCTGTGTTATAGCATTATTTGTATTATAATAGTATTGTCTATTATTGAACAACTGTATAATGAAAAGAAAGTTCCTGTTAGACACAACATCATCAAGTACATGCATATAATAGAAAACTGACTGCACTGAGAGTCCAAAGACCCACGTATTTGTCACCTAGGCCTGAGTGAGTCAAGGCACGAAACCTCCCTTTTATGGTGAAGCTGTCCTGGTAATCTGTGACCCACATACCAATCAGTTAGATTTTGGGTTAAGAAAATGGCCCGCAGACTGGGAAGGTTCTTGTTAACACAAAATAATCTCATAATCTTTATTTATTTTAATCTTAAAATTGAACAGTCTTGATAATTGTTGCTAAAACGTATACCATGGAGAACTGAAGTCTCAAAGGTCCCCCCTTGCACTGAATTATTTGCATGCACCAGGCAGTAGTAAAGCAATGAGCTTACCAGCCCCCTCTCCCCTCAGGACACTGCTCTCCTCAGCCCCCCAACATGAATGCCATTCTGGACACGACCATGTTTTTGGGGAAATTTCTCTACTACGCTTTGGAAGCCTTAGTTGGCAACATAATTCCGAAGAGTAAAAAGGCTGTTGCTGGAGAAACTGTACTGATAACCGGAGCTGGAAGTGGGCTTGGAAGGCTGTTGGCCCTGCATTTTGCCAGGCTCGGGGCCATTGTGGTTCTCTGGGACATTGATCAAGAAGCCAACATGGAGACGTGTCGACTGGCCAAGGAAAAGGGCGCTGTGAAAGTCTTTGCCTATAAGTGTGACTGTAGTAGCAGGCAAGAAATCTACAGAGTCGCTGAGCAGGTAAGCTGAGTGTTCTTCGCGTCAGGGTCCAAGGACACCTCCTCTGCTAAGCACTTTTACAAAGACAGGAGGAGAGAGATTTATCATAAGTTTCCCCCAAGATCTCTGAGAATTTTTTTTGTACCAGGAATCGAACTCAGGAGCTCACGCTTGTCAGGCAGGCACTGTGCCGCTGAGCTATATCTGAGAGTCCACCCCCGAACATCTCTATGTGTCTCTGTGACCTCCAAAAATATAACAGAGCAAGTGGAAACTTGATCAACCTTCAGGTCCCAGTGCTGTCAGACTTCTCCGCACGGTGACTCACTGCTTAGCAGGAGTTGGCAGGAACTAGGCAAAATCTTGGCTCTGCCACTCACTGGTTGTGGGATGTTGACCAAGGAATTTCCCTCTCTCCATCCCCGTTTCCGTATTTGTAAAATGAAAGGTCTGAACCAGATGACCTTCAAGGTCATGTACAGTTTTAACTTAGCTTTTTACAGTTCGCAATTCTAATACCAGTTAAATTCCATTCAATCGTGTGGTAATTTCATTATCAGCATGTTCTGAGAATGTAGAGTAAGGAACATAGGATAGAAGTATTTGGCACACTTTCAGACCAAATTTCCTCTTAAAATTAAAATATTGACACTTGTCCTAAATTCATAGTAACTAGCAAAGATTCTTTGCATATAATAGCATTATTATGTACCATGTACCCTAACGTGTACCCTAACCACGTACCCTGTTGACCTAACAATAGGCAAGCATCAGGAGGTTTTTAAAAATGGGGGAGGTGTAATGAGGCCAGATGCAGATCAAAAGAGAGAAAAATGAGCACACTTTACAGTTTTGTTTTAATCACAATCCTCTAGAGAAGGCATAGCACATCGTACAGAGTCACCAAGGAAAGGATCCGTGGAACAGGAGGCAGAGGGAATGGTAGGTAAATACCTTCACTGTACTTTCCACAAGAAGGAATAGGTGATGCAGAACAAACTGTCTTAGGACTGGCCAACTGGAGTCATTCCAGGGCACTCCAGGGCATAGGCGTTGTCCCTGGATTTCTGGCAGCTGACTCGGGGGTGGTTGGGGCGGGTAGGGAGTAGCCCCGAGTATGAGAACCCAGCAACTGAAGGAGTTGGATCTGCAAACGTAACCACTTATTCAGAAAGGGAAACTGACCACCCTCTAGCCAGGGCGGCAAAACTGGACCAAGACAGCCCAAAAAACACACAGCTATAGAAATGCAAAGCAAAAGCTACATTAACTGTACCACAAATAGTTACTGTTCTGAGCAATTTACACACATATCCACTTGTCTAATCAGTACCACGGTGCTTGAAGGTGTTTATCATCTTTATCACCCCATTTTTAAAATGGGGAAACTGAGGGGCGGAGTACGTGTGAACTTGCCCAACATCGTAAAATTAGTGATTGACGAGGCCAAGATTCCTTCTCAGACAACCTGGAACCCAAAAGTTTAGAAAGTTTGGTAACAGTTCCCACAGAACTTTCCTTCCCTTCTGCAGTCTAAGGCCCATCCATGTAATTCATCTGCTGAATCATTCAGAACTTAACTCCTGAATCTCTGCTCTGTGACCCTGACCTTCTGAGCCACAGTCTTGATCTTCTCTTTCTCTTTCTGTTGCTTCTTTGCCTTGGAGCCCATGGGATTTGTACTTCGTGGCTTGTCCACCAATGAGAATCTATGCAGCTCCCTGGGTACATTTTAGTACAAAGTAGATAGAATCAAAGTTACTCTTCATTTTGTAAGAGAGAAAGAAATGTGATAGGAAAAGTTCCCAAATGAGGATCTTTGAGACAAGTTTAAGGATACACCCTGTTTAGCAAGGGCTTTGGCCCCAGGGCGACAAACTTCCCAAGACAGAACACCTGAAAAGTCTTTGCTCCTGAACTATTATCACATACAGTCTTCACGGTGAAGTAGGTGCTACATTTTCTCCATGGTATTAATGGCAAAGCGTAGGTAGCAAGAGTTTGAGGAATGAGGCCACAGCACTGGTGAGTGATAGAGCTGAAGTGTGCCCCAGTTCTCCTAATATCAGAGCCCACGTTGCAGACCCACAGGGGCATCAACAAAAGAGCAGGCAACGGGAAGACCCCCTGGTAAATGTCAGCTCAAAAGCGTTAGGACCTCCTACTGTCCCTGCCTTCTGCAAACTTTTCCATCTTAGTTAAAATTTTCTTGACCTCTATAGAAAAACCAGGCTAAAAACCTTACTCTCAAATCACTTTTGAGCTAGCCATAGTGGTGCACACTTGTAATCCTAATATTATGGGAGCCTAGGGTAAGAGGATCACAAATTTAATTTAAGTCGACCTAGTGACTTAGTGGAACCTAATTTAAAAATAAAAAATAGAAAGGACAGAGGATGCAGCTTAGTGTAAAGCCCTAGGGTTAATCTCAGTACTACAAAGAATCATTTTCATCATCGGATTGTATCTGAAACTTCTTCTTGTCCATATCCTATAAATAGAATATTTCTAAGTCAACTACTCTCATTTTAATTTAATTTCAATTATTCATCAACTCCCAAGAAAACCGAATACTAGCAGTAACCTTTAGTTGTAAAAATTTCAACAAACTCCAGGCATTACCCAAATCCTTGAATTCTATAGGAAACTTGAAGAATAATGACAAGATTATGATGGAGCATAAAAACTTACTCTCCAAAATTAAATTGAGATAGCATTCTCATCTCCACTGGAGAAAGTCAATATAAAAATAAATGTTTCTTGTAAAAATAACCAGCCTCATAACTTACTTCCAAGTCTCCAGGTCTAATCAACTATTGGTATTTATGAGAGTTGTTTGCTACAAATGACTTTGACATGGAAGAATGGTAAATTTGGGTGAACACAGCTTTCACATGAGAATCCAGATTGGGTGTGAACTGTCGTCCTTCCTCACAGAATCAGAGAGTCTCTGGCAAGATCTTAGCTCCTCAGAGGCTTTTTCTTCATTCATAAACTGGGATAACAATGTCTTCTCAAATTGCCTCTCAGAAAACAATGGAAGTAAAACCCCATGATATAGATAAAATATCTCCCTTGCTCTGGGGTCCCTACACCTCAAGGCTCCTGGAGTTGGATAACAGTGACTGCTGGGTCTTTCTTAAAGCATTTGGGAATATCCGATGCCAAAGATCCCATGTCCTTTTCTGCTTCTTAGCCCACTACCCTGTTCATTGGTGCAGGACTGAGAACTGTGCTTACCTATCCCATCACAAAGCTAAGGGAATAACCGCCCTTTAAATTTTTACAGAGCACTGTAGCACTCACCCATAATCCCACCACTCTGAGAGGCTGAGGCAGAAGAATCACAAACTAGAGTCCATCCTGGGCAACTTAGTGACTTAGTGAAATCTGTCTCAGAATAAAAAGTAAAAAAGGGAACGGGAGAGGCTGAGGATATAAATCACCAATAAGCCCCCTCAAGAAAATCAAGTCAGAGCAGGCAATGCTTTTTTTTTTTTAAACCATTTAACTGAAATGGACTTCCATTTATTTAACTGCAGTGACTTCCATTTATTTTGTTACATTTTTTCACCATGGTGATTTACAGGATCTTCAAGCCAATATAACTATTTCATAAATATGTGGTCATCTAGCTATACTGCTACACAATACCTCACCAGTATCCTTCTGCAAGAAGAACACCGAAGAGTAAAGACCTGACACAATTAACTAGATGCCATGAAAATCTTCTCCAGATACTTGTTTCTGAGGGAAATGCATCAAACACCTGTTCAATTAAGAAAACCATCCTTACAACACAGGATGTGTTTTTTTCCATTTAAGTGGGGCCTAGAATACCGAGGGGGAATTAGGCGCTGAATGGCACAGCTCCATCCCCAGCTTATGCCATGAATTCATAGGGAATAGGTTCCAACACCTCAGGTTCCTTCCCATTGGTTCTCACGAAGTGTGCTTCTCTGGGCGGGGCAGGCTGGCGCTTCAGCTGAACCCAGGTTCCTTTCTCTTTGGCTTCCTTCTTTTTCTGATCATTTTCCTTGACACGTTTCAGGAAGCTATCTCGGCTCTTTGAGTGCTTAATATGCTCAATACGCACATTAATCCTCTTGGCAAGAATCTTGCCCCTGGGGAGAGCAGCAATTTTTAACTAATGCTTTACGAAAAATAAAATGGAAATACAGAAAACTGTTTGAATAGTTCCCTGTAGTAAATTATCAACCTTTTACTGAGGATAAACCAAGAGGGTGATGGCCTGACTACGTAATCACTCATCCTACTGCAAGAGGGCATCAACACCCAACACCACGGGCACTCTTCCGATGAGGTGATGCACCGGAGCTGCCGAACACTCATCATTCAACCAAAGTGAGAGTACGCTAAAACGTTTCTCTAGGCCAAGAACACTAGGAACTGTTCAGCTCCAAACTGTGTAGTCTTTCCAGCAAATCTACTTCTGTTTCCCCTGACAGGTTACAAGACAAACATTTAGTTTGCCTGAGTTTTAAAAGGGTATTTCCTTTGCCCCACTTGAATGACCAATGAAGACATGAAGTCCAATTGGCAAAGTGAAAGGGGCTAGGCAATGCTTTTTGTTTGAAAATAAAAGAAATAGGTTGTCATAGCTGCCAGAAATAGGTTGTCATAGCTGCCAGAAGACACACACACATACACACACACACACACATACTGTGAAGCATGCTTAAACATGCTTCATGTTTTGCCCCTGGGTCAGGTTTAGCAAATAAGTTGAAATGAAATGATAACATGGTAGGAGAGAAAAACAGCTCCTCTGGTTTTTCCTGAAGCACACTTTTCACCAAGCAGAGCTCATGGTGATTTGTGGGTGTGCAAGCGTGAAAGGAGTGCTATTCGTGAGGAAAGGGATGAGAATTTACAGAGTGGTGAGTGGCAGCACAGCTGCGGAGCTTGGGAGGAGTCTAGTCACAGGCGGGAACTGCACTTGAGACAGACTTTTGGGCAGAAGTGCGCAGAGTCACAGGGCACTGGATCAAACACATCCATGCTTGAGATGTCTGCCTTCTGAGAATGTCAGCCTCAGAAGGATGGGACGTGTCCCTGGTACCTGGAGAGGGGGAACCGCCACTTACAGAAATAGCCACCAGATATCTGCTGTGCTGAGGAAAGAAAAAACAACTGCCATGTGAAGGAAGACGCCCAAGGTGCACAGGGAGACAGTGTTACTCTTTCTTCACTGCCATTAGTTGATCCAGTGGGAAAGGGCATGAACATGGTAGAACTAGCAACAGAGAAAATATGCTGAGAGCTACAGCAGATTATCTGCACATAAAGATCAAGAATTTTTTAAACAAAATTGCCAAATTTAAATGTGCTTTTTGTAAAAATTCTAATTGATCATAAAGTTACTTTAAATTTTCTGTAGTACTTTATGCCAGATAAAATATCTAGTTTTAAATAAACTGGAATTATGCATTGCTAAATGACAGGGACCAGTCTGAGAAATGCACTGCGAGGTGATTTTGTCACAAAGCATACTTACGGAAACTAACATGGCTACAGTGCCACCAGACAATATAATCTTGTGATGGCTATTATATAAGTGGTGTGTCTGAATAAAATGAAGGGATGCATATTTGTAACTGAATAAAATGAAGGAAAACAGTGACTTGAGAACGTAAGTACCGAAATGCACCACCTCTACTGATTTATGTTTGTCTCACTTCCGGACAGGTTAGAGAGGAAGTTGGCGACGTGACCATCCTCATTAACAACGCCGGCATTGTGACAGGGAAGCCCTTCCTTGACACTCCAGACCACATGGTGGAAAGATCATTTTATGTCAACGCCATCTCTCATTTCTGGGTAAATTTTTTAACTACTAAGTATGAAACTTCCATGCATTTCTAAAAATGACCCTTCACACACGTCTGTAAATATATCATTTGAGTGTTTCCTGTTGATAAACTGTTGTGAGCTTCCCCTCCCTGGGTTTCACCCAGCTTCATTTTTCTAGATCTTGACCTGTTCCAAATTCTCAGAGAAATTCACTTCCTTGCACTGTCTCCAATTTGACTCTAAAAGTTACTAAGCCGTTCAGATCTCTTCTTACCCTAAAACAAACTGAAATTTACTATCAGTTACACAAGAAAGATTTAATTTGTTCCTGATCAACAAAGAGCCCTTGGGCTGGGGCTATTTCTAGAGAGGTGACTTATTACATCAAGACTGGGTGATGAAGGGGATGAAGGCAACATTTACTGAGTACATATTGTACGCTAGGCTCTTTCATTGCATCTACAGCCATTCTGGCACTACAGCCTCATTTTAGAGACAAGGAGACTGGATCCTAAAGTGTTGAAGTGAATTCCCCAAGCTGGGTAAGTGGGTAAGTGCTGGCTCAAGCTTACAAAGCAAAGAAGGGAGAGAGGAAAGAAAGAATATTTACAGGAGGAAAACAGTGGATGAATAACTCTGGAATGTGTCTCGTGACCTCCAGAGGGGCTAGACAGCCTGTCTGCCAGTCGTCAGGCTGTCTCTGGTGACGGAAATGTCCATCTGTTCCCCAACACGCAACTGCTGGCTGGCTGTAGCTACTGAGTACTTGAAATGTGACTGGTGGGACTAAGGGACCAAACTTTTAACTTTATGTCATTTTATTCATTTAAATAAGATGCTTAGAGACTGTGGCCATGGATACTGCAACTCTAGACAGTGGGTGAGCGGTGCAGGGGGCTGAGATCCCCAGACGCGTCTCCACTGCGAGGGCTTCCACTTGACGCTGTGGCAGAAAGAGCAGGAGCCAGAAGTGGGTGGGGCGCGGGGAGGTGCAGATGGCCGAAGCCAGACCTGCGGCCAAGTAGGGAGTGACGGAGAAGGCGGGGCCCTGCTCCTCTGTTTCTCGGAAGCTGGGCCCTTGGAAGGGTTTGCTTTTGGTGTCTTTTTTCACTCAGCACTTTCGTGCACTCCTCTCGGTCCTCAGAACTATTTCCCTGGTCTTCCTTCATGGTCCTGGAAAGAAAATTGGAAACCCCACCGGAGCCCAACAAACCTATTTTAACCACAACAAACTGAGCACCTCACAAAGTTCCTGGCCTGTAGCAAGTGTTCCATAAAAATTTGTGAAAATCATTGATTCTTTTTCCTGTCTTACCACACTCCAAAACTTTTCCTTTTGGAAAGAGAATGCACCATGCTGGTAGACAGAGCTAGGGTGCACCCAACGGTAATCACAAATCCAGGAATCGTCCTCAGTCTCTCCCTTCCCATCACTAGGAACACGCTCCGCTCTCCCTGCAAAACGTGTTTAAGTGTACTTTCTCCACTCCTGCCGCCAGTCTCTGTTCAAGCGGTCTTCACCTCTCACAGACAGATTTTCACGGAGTATATGCGAGAGTGAGGTGATCTCAACACAATCAAATCATTTCACGCTCCAGCTCAAAAATATTCGAGGTTTTCAAAGGCGTTTAGAATAACATGCAGTTGCCTGTCATGACTTGTAGGCCCTAGTATGATGTGGCAATATCTGCCCTTGTCTGTCTCCTGCCCCTCATGTCATTAATTTTCTGTGCACTTCCTGTACTCTGAAGATCCTGAGTAAGTGCAGAACACATCAAGCTTTTTCTTCGCAGGGTCTTGCCACCAGCCCTTCCCTTTCTGACATGAACGCTCTTTCTTCTGACTCGGGAGCGCCTTCAGATTCAGGACCTCCTTCAGATTCTGCAGGCTCCATGCAGGCATTAATTTGTACTTTTATGTTGTAGGTAGGTTCTGTTGTTTGCCTTGAATAATTTACACAATATTTACAATAAGCTGTCTTGGTGTATATCTGAAAAGTTAGAAAGATGATTCTAAGTAGCCACTAAAGTCAAAGAATCAGCTTCTACGTGAAGATGATAAAAAGAATCTCCACTCTCTTTTAGAACTTGAAGTTTTAAAAATTTTTTCCAATGCTCTAACTAGCTCAGTTGTTCCAAGGCTAGGAAGACAAACTCAAGGAATATGTCCACGCCAGGCAGTTGGTATATTTCCTCTTTTTAAAATGTCCTTCAAACCTGCCAAGGTTCCCGGCCTGCTAGAAAATGAGCCCCCTTACTACCTGTGGGTTGGGAGGGACTGTGCCCCACAGGACATGTATCGCCCCACTCCCTCGGAAGGGAAGGCAGCTTGACAGCCATCAGGCCCAGCTGTGAGCTACACCACTGTTGCTCAGGAGTGGGCGTGTGCCACGAGATGAAATAATCTGTGATCTGCGTGCCTTATCAAGCTCTTCAAGTATGTCCTGGCGAAAAGAAGGCCTGATTCTTACTTAACATGTGGAAAGGGGGGCATCGTCATAAAAAATGAAGGCTCTAAGTAACTTCACAAGGGCAGTGAAAATCTTTCACTGAATCTAGGACATGACATGATTGTGTGTAGGTGTGTGGTGGTTAGCTAGGTCAAAATACATTCCATATATTTTGCTAAGCTTAGTCCCCTAAGATTTACTTAAATTCTAACTACTATAACCATCATTTTTACATTCCTTTGCTAATTCACTCCATTGATCATCTAAATTCAGATTTCCCATAAGGCGTTTTCCCTTAATTCCCAGAATTAATTCCCTTAATTCCCAGGAGTATCAGCTGGATCAAAGAGCATTCAGAAAGCTTTCCATCCTGCTTGGATAAGTATAATTTCCTAAATAGGTAGATCCAAAAGAAAGAGCAAGTCCTTCTTCATAGATCAATTAGAAAATAGAACACTAACGACATGAAGTATCTCTCACTGATTCCATAATCCAGCCCTATATAGTGTGCCCTCCGTACCCACAGATCCAACCAACTGCAGATTGAAAATATTTGAAGAGAAAATGCACCCGTAGTGAACATGAATGTTTTCCTTCTCACTGTTCCCAAAACAGTGCTATAATAATTCTATCCTACTGGGTCTTATAAATCATCTAGAAATAATGCAAAGTGAATGAGATGATTACACAGGCTGTGTGGAAATAGCAGACTATTTTATATAAGGGAATTGAGCATCTTTAGATACTGGTATCTAGAGCAAGGGATCCTGGAACTGATTCCTCTCCAGTATCAAGAACAACTGCGTCACCAGCCCTGCACACTTCAGCCCGAACTACTGTAGTTATGGTACCGAATTGTGAAATCAAACAACGAAAACCCATCACATGTGGGAGATCTGAAGTCCTTTAATGATTATAGTGATTATATTACGATTTACCTGTGTGGTCTCCACACAGAGCAAAGATTCTTACCTTTGCACAGGTAGAGAATTAACTTTTAGTAGCTCTTGTTACAGCACACTGAATATTTCAAAACCAATTTTAAACTACAAGGCCCCTTGCCTTTATCATAACTAAGCTTCTCTTCCTTGCTAATTTTCATGTGTGTGTATGTGTATGAGCTTAAACATACACAAAGGCACAGGTAGCTATGCAATAATGTCATTTTAGCTTTTAGTAATTAACCTTATCATTGTGTAAAAAGCTATGGTATATAAAATATTGGACTTATCATCTTAATTGAAATTTTACAAGAAACATCCCAAAACTGTGCCTGGTAACTCAATTCCCATTCTCTATGAATTTTAACCTCTTTAAAAATGTTATAGGTCCCCCAAGAATTTCTCATAAATTTGCACAATTTAATTTTTATTAGTAACAACAACCACTTACTAAAGTAGATACAAAATACTTATTTTACATGTTTTATTCCTGAAATAACCCTATTATATTATCAATCAAAAATTTGCACTAATAACAAATTTATTATTCATTTGTCAAACACACAGATAAGAATCTTGAGGAAAAATATATCAAAGGTGTATATACAATTATAGAAGTTCTTATTATATGTATAGTAGAGGAGATATATTTCACTACATTTTCCATATTCTGGAAAACATTCAAATGAAGGTAAGTAGGTTCTGGCTATTGATAGAACTTTTCTAGTGGTTTAGGTCCTTCATTTTATTTTTTCATAAGAAAATCCAAAATTACTAGTGTTGAATTTCTCATCGTGTATTTATCTAAAAACACAGTAAAAAATGTGTAAAGGAAGATTATAGATTGGTCAACTTGGGTATTTTATATTAGCTTAGCTGGTAATATCTTCTAGATAAGAAAAAAATAATGGAAGAAAATCCTTCCAGTTATTTATAAGTAGCTAAGACAGCAGTGTAGGAGTTTTCCTCTCCCTCTACCTGTTAGATGATTTATGATCACATCAAAGTACCATCACACCTGAAAAGCAGGCGCTACTGATCACAGGTATCACAAAAAGCGCAGATATTTCTTTAAGAATAAAATTATTTGAGTAAGTGAAAACCCAAAATGATACATTTTGTGACTCGTTCCAGTGTCAAAGCTTAACCAAAAAAATCTAAATATACAAATGTAGCCTGGAAATATTTTTAAACATAAGAAGTTCATTCATTAGTTTCATCCTGAAAAATATGTCATATAAATAAAATAAAATAATTCTGATGCTTTTATCCATTACATCCTACACATAATAAAATCAAAGAATAGGTACTACTTATCAAACAAGTCTGATTTGTTCACACATTTACTTTGGTTATGGGCAATGTGTAACCTGGATCTGCATGTAAATCTTTGTTGCCTTCCCAAATACTAAAACTACTTTTAAAAAGTTGAAATACATTCTTGACAGTAAACATCCTATGACCAATCCAATTTCAAAATGTTCTTTAAAAGCTCTACCCTCAGACACGGGGCTGCAAACACAAATGGACTCTTGTATACTACTCCTCTCAAAACTCCTCCCAGTTTTGCTTTGCGCAATTTCAGTTACCTGTGGTCAGCCACACTTTGAAAATACTGCATAAAAATTCCAGAAATAATTTGTGATTTTATATTGTATACTATTCTGAGTAGCAGGATGAAATCTTGCACCAAACCAGTCCATCCCTCCTAGGACCTGAATCACCTCTTTGTCCAGAACATCTACAATGTATGTATCTCCTACTTCCCGGTCACTCAGCAGCCGAGTTACCAGAAAACTGTTGTGGTGTCACAGTCTTGTGTACAAGTTACTCATTTTATTTAATAATGTCCTCAAGGTGCAAGAGTAGTGACCCTGGTCATTTAGCTATGTCAAACAAAAGCTGTCGTGTGTTTCTTTTAGCTGCAAAGGTAAAAGTTCTTGACTTGTCAAAGAAAGAAAAAAAGTGGTGTGCTAAAGTTTGCTAAGGTTTATAGTACAAGAGATATTTTGAGAGAAGAGAGAAGCTACATTCACATGACTTTTATTACAGTATATTGTTATAGCTGGTCTGTTTTACTACTAATTATTGTTGTTAATCTATTACTATTAATTTGTAAATCAAACTTTATCACAGGTGGCTATGTACAGGAAGATGCAATGTATACATAGGGCTCAGTACTCTCTATGGCTTAAGGCATCCAATGAGGTAGATACAGGGGGACCACGGATAATGCCTAGTCACTTTCCTTCCGTGAGAGAAAATGTTCCTCAACTGAGAACCCAGGAGACTAGTATCGAACACAGTCCCAGCTCAGAAGCAAATGCATATGCAGGTATTGTACAGATACACCTGCCAAAAACATATTTGCCTACATCACACTAGGTCTATCACGTGGCCCCTGGGAGATGTCCTCCGGGACTCTGGCCCCAGATCTTCACATCTGTTTCGAAAGATAACAACCAGCTCTTGTCATTCCTAACTAGTGTACGGTTATGACTGATGCAAAAAGGGCTTGCAGATTTTAATTTTGAAAGACGCAGATGTCATGACCCTGAGATATAAATGCATAAATTGCCACTGTACTTGAACATGAAATGTCAAAAGAGGGCCGTCGTCCCCAGGTAAGCAGACACGCACCCAGTAGTCCAGGAGTTAGAGAACAAGGTCAGTGACTCTGAAAGCAAATGTGCTGCTCTGTGCTCCCATGGCTGCTCTCGGCGACTGAGCACATCTGGGCAGACTTTCTAAAACCATAAATATGAAATTCTGACATTGTTTAAATCATAAATCCCATCAAAATAGGTGATGAGAATTGTCAAGATTTACTAAAATCATTTATGGAAGAACCAGCAGAATGCTACAGCTGACAGAATGGCGATGTGAGAACTCGGATTCGTAGATTTAGGGGAAAGCAATGTTGAACTAAGGTAGCTAAACTCTGTTTTATTTTTAAAGATAAAGAACAAAAACACACTAACAAACAAACATAAGCAAAATAACACAAAAACAACAGAAGCAATACAGAGTTTCAGACAAGGTGAAAGGAAATTAACAATGGTTGTTGTATTATATATTGTTATCTTCAAATTGGTTACTCTGTTAAGAAAATATAGGCATTTAAGATTGATCAAACAATTAATCATTAACTATTCCTTTCAATACAGCAATAGAAGTTGCTAGTACAACTCTCTCAGTTATCGTGTGTGTATGTGTGTGTGTGTATGTGTGTATACACGTTTTTCCCTTCTTTCATTTTCTCTTTTCCCTCATCCCAATTGTTCCTTCCCTTTGAGCAGTTTCTTTCCCTTTCACAATATCCACCATACCTTTCAGATTTTATTTACTCTTTCGGGTTCCTACACTAGTAAGACAATACGGTATTTACACATGCGGGTCTGATTTATTTCACTTATGACTACGGACTCTAGTTGCATCCATTTACCTATGAAAGCCTCAAGTTTATCTTTCTTTATAGTTCAGTAATATCCCATTATGTAAAAATACCACATCTTTTTTATCCATTCCTCAGTGGATGGGCATTTGGGTTGCGTCCACAATTTAGCTATTAAAAATTGAGCAGCTATAAACATGGGTGCACATATATCGCTGTGGTATGATGTTTGTAGTTCTTCTGGAAAAATACCCAAAAGCGAGATAGCTGGGTTGAATGAGACTTCTAACCCTAGTTTACTAAGGAATCTCCAGACTGATTTCCACAGGGGTTGCCGCAGTCTGCACTCCCACCAACAGTGGAGAAGGGTTCCTTTTCCACACAGCCTCACCAGCATTTGTTATTGGTTGATTTCTTGATAATAGGCATTCTCTCTGGGGTAAGATGAAATCTCAGTGTTGTCTTAATTTGCATTTCTCGAATGACCAATGATGTTGAACATCTTTTCATGGACTTATTTGCCATTTGTATTTCTTCATGTGAGAAGTGTGTATTCATCTCAGATGCCCATTTTTGGATTGGGTCTTTAAATTTGAAGGGGCTGATTTTTTTAGTTCTTTATATGTTCTAGATAGCAGTATTTTGTCCGAGGGACAGTCAACTAAAATTTTATCCCAATTTGTGGGTTTTCCTTTTACTCTGTTGGTGATTTCTCTAGAAGATTAACTAAACTCTTAACTCTGGTATCATCTTTTATATTAGATAAAAAAAAACACACTAGTTTTCTGTGGGTTAACTTCTAATCTTATAAGATGTGAAATGTCTGAGGCTTAATCACAACCAATGTCACATTCCCCCCAAAAATGAGATGACATTCAAGCAAGCTTACTAGAAAATGCACTACCATGAAATTACCCTTGGTTTTTTTCCCCAAGATTTTGATCATTATTAATGAACAAGGTTTAAGCAGAAAAAAAGTAGTGCGGGAGAGAGAATGGGAAATTTACCTGAGGACCTATGAAGTGCAGGATAAAGAAGTGGTATTTTTTTTCATGGCATGGAGACTTCGAAAATGTAATTAATGTCATGCTTTCAGATGGATGCATGAAGTTCACCAAAACAGTTACAAATATGTCATAGCAGCGGTTCCAAAGTACATGTACTGCCAAGTGTGGTGGCACACACCTGTAATCCCAGCACTCGGGAGGCTGAGACAGGAAGATCACTGTGAGTTCAAGACCATCCTGGGCTACAAAGTGAGCTCAAGGCCTGCCTGAACTGCATAGTGAGATCTTGTCTCCAAAAGCCAAAAAAAAAAAAAAAAAAAAGCGTACATGTACTTTACTTTCAAGGCATGATGCTTGCCTTACATGAAATTCACCGTTGCCTTGAGCAATTTCCCCCATTCTGTCATCCTCTGGGGTAAGTAAAATCTTGTTTACGGTAAATTCTAGAAAGCTAATGGAATTAGATTTTAATACAAATGGAGGGAAACTACATGAAAGTTCAGCATAGTATAAAATCTAAATCTTTAGTCAACCTGTAAAAAATCTAAAATCTAAAAATCTAAATCTTTAGTCAAACTTTAGTCAACCATAAATGTAAAAATCTCATTTGAGTCAACTAATAGAGCTTCTTCCAAAGAAAATATCACATGTCTTATAAATGAACACGTAATAAGCCCTAAGCTCCTGGAGAGTGGTGGCTATTTGCTTCCTACTTTTAACTACCGCAAGATTTAACACGTACAACTGTTCAATAATTACTTGTTAAATGGATTAGTAAATTCACCATATACTTACTAAAGAAATAAAGTCATAAGTGGATGAAATGATGACACAGTGTATTTCTGTCTTCCAGACTTATAAAGCTTTTCTTCCCGCCATGATTAAAGCTAACCATGGTCATTTGGTCTGTGTTTCAAGTGTAGCAGGAATGGTTGGTATTAACGGACTATCAGGTGAGTACTTGATTTCACCATGTGCCTTTTTATTCCCCAGTCAATAGCTCCCACAGATTAAAACTCTTACAAGGTCTTCATGTCCCACTGCAAATTCTGGAACATTTGGGTCTCTTTATTTGCCAGGGGTCCCTTCTATTTCCCTACTTATAATGGCCGTGGTGGAGGAAAATAGTCTCTTTCTTTGGAAAAACAGACGAATATACTTATTTGTTCACTGGTCTTTTGGGGGTAACAGAAATTGGAATGATTTCTTTTTGTTGGTTACGTAGCATGGAGACAAAGTGAAGTGTTTGGTTGCAAAAATTTTAGCCACAAGCTAATTTCAGAGACAAGCTGGGTAAAAGAGGAGGTTCTTTTTAGATAATTCCAAGAATTAACTTGTTAAACTCTATTATACCTTTCAGATTTCATTTACTCTTTCAAGTTCCTACCCTAGCAGGAACCTGAAAGAGTAAATAATTAATAGTTAATAGTTGTTCACTTTGTTATAATAATGAACAGTTCTTTACTTTGTTCCAGATTATTGTGCAAGTAAATTCGCAGCCTTTGGTTTTGCTGAGTCTCTCTTCTTTGAATTAAGCCGGGTAAAGGAAAACAGAATTAAAACTACCATCATTTGCCCCTATTTCATCAACACGGGAATGTTTGACGGCTGTACAACCAAGTAAGCAAACTCTCGCGGCAATCCTTGCTTTTATAAAAGTCATTTAGTGTGCGCATATCACCTTATCATTTTGAAGCTTTGAAATATGACAGTAAAACAAAAGAAAAATAGGAATGATTAATGTAGTGAAAATTCAATCAATATGAAATTAATAAATTTATTTAATTGAAAGATAATGGCACACTTCTGGAATTTAGGGAGCGGTGAAAACTTATACCTGAAACGCTAATCAGAACATTACACAATAACAGACAAATTGGTAATGCGAACTTGTTAAAATGGCTAACGAAAGGAAATTAAGCCTTAACATCCCCAAAGAAAAAATAGTTTTTAAGATTGAATAATATATGTGCGGAAGTGTTAGGGTGACATTTTGTTGCAAAGGTTGGATTTACCTTGAACAGCCTGAACTGGAGATTAAATTAAATACCAAGGCTTTCCCAGCTAATATGAGGACTAGTATAGGTATACTTATTACAATTGTTAGAAAGGGAACTGGTGCCATCCAAGTAATATACCTTAGCCATATTTTTAGTAATGACATACAGCTACCAAAAGACCTGGCTCAAAGGCACAGAGGCTGCTCAGAGTCTAATGGAGCTATAAAATTAAATAGAAAGTTCCAAAGCAGATGGTAAACAGTTGACAGAATATGAGTGAGAAACTTTCTACCATGGAGACATCTACTAAATGAGTCAAAACTAACAAAGATAACCATTTAAAATCTTTGAGAATGATCAAAAGGCATGCTAAAAGTTGGTGAGCATTTATACGACAAAATCTATGGAAACCCATTCAGAATACTGGAAGGCCATGGCATTTGGGGTTAAAACTACATCTGACCCTTGTGGGATAACTGTTGCAGTGGGCTTGGCAACCAAGGGGCATTTTCCACCTTTCCAAAGCTATTCCACATAGTTTAACACAGATGAGCCCTGACAGAGTTCATTTGCAACAACTCCTCGCAGCAGAAGCCTACATGGAGTGAATGGCCTCCGGCAGACAGAAATTTGTTCCGCCAGCCCTGGCTAGGCGGGAAAAAAGCTGGGAGCAGTGGTTGGTGAAAGAGGCAGCTTCTTTTTCCATATCAGTTCTTTGTTTTAAGAGATCTGCTCCAATAAACAGCAGTAAAATGTTAGTTCCAAAGCTCCTAAGATAGAAGACTAAGTGTAGGTAGATTTATTAGACAGTTAATATCAGCAAATCTTATCCCAGGCTCTGAGCCATGAAAAATCCTCAGAATGGTGGCAGCAGCTGGATGGCACAAACAGCTCCTGTCATCCACCTGCGACTTTTGTATCCTGATTTATAGGGCAAATTTGGGTGAATCAATCAGTGCAGAATTATCACCCCATCTCTTGGTGCCATAAGGTAGGTTCTATCAGGTGAAGGTCAAAGCCAGTCTCACAGACAAGCATCTCTGCTCCTGCCACAGGACATGACTTCAGTTAGATAAGACTATTCATCATACTTTCAAGAAAAGTAACACAACCAGTAGGCAGATCATGGAAGTTAAGACTTGAGTATTACATGAGGAGGAGCACAGTAGCCAGAAGCTTAGCTAGAAAATTAGCAAAAGAGAACAGTAAAAGATTGTCAGCTAAAGCCACAGCCATCTCTGACAACTAGGAAATTTGTCCATGCCTACAACCACGTGGTCTGAGAAGTGACATCAAAGCTATACAGTGACAGTACTACAGGGAAGTAAACTTCACTGGATTGGTCCAATCAAGCCACTAAATAAGCAAGCAAACCATCATAATAAGCCCCATGGGAGAGTACTATCTAAAATATGTTATTGGAAATGTTCACTTTTAACAAAATTTATAGGTTACACAAAGAAATGGGGATGCATGACCCATATAGTGGAAAAATGCAGACAATAGAAAGTACCTTTAAGGGGAGCCAGACATTGGAGCAGTGAAATTCAAAGAGCTATTATAAGTATATTCAAAGATCTAAAGGAAACCATGTTCGAAAATGAAAAGAAAATATGATGTACAAGTCTCATCAAATATCGATAGGCAGAAAGTCTAAAGATGTATACTGTATACCTCTATGAAAATAACTTGAAAAATACAGTTTAAAATTATTGAAGGATGCCCCGGGATCAAAAGGGCGTAGAACACAATAAATTAAGAAGACCGAGGAGACATTTACGTGACATTCCACCCAATAATAATAGTGCACATTTTTCTCAAGATCCCATAGTGAAAAGACAAGCCAAAGAGTAGGAAAATAATGTTTCCAGTTGTTTCTTAGACAAACGACTAACATCTGGGGCACATAAAGAACGGAAAACAATAAGACCCTCCAAATTCAAAGACCCAATCCAAAAATGGGCATCTAAGACAAATAGGCACTTCTCAGAAGAAGTACAAACATGAAAATACATGGAAAAAGTGTTCAACCTTACTGGCCATTTGAGAAATGCAAACTAAACCAAAGCTGAGTTCCATCTCACTCCTGAAAGAGTCGCTGTTATCAAGAACACAGCTGCCAGAGAGGCTGTGGGGAGAAAGGAGCCCTTCTGATGTTGGTAGGAGTGTAGACTGGTGCAGTCCCTGTGGAAATCAGTGCAGATTCCCATTGGACCCAGCTAGCCCTTCTGGGTATCTTTCTGGAAGAATTAAAAGCAGCATACCACATCGATATATGCACACCCTGTTTATATTAGCACACTGTCTTATAGCTAACTCCTGGAAGCAACCCAAATGCCCATCAACCGATGAATGGATAAAAAAGATGTTTTTATATATAATGAAGTATTACTCAGCCATAAAGAAAGATGACATCGAGACATTTATAGGTAAATGGATGGACCTTGAGAGCATAATCATAAATGAAATGAATCAGACTCACATGTGTAAATACTGCATTATCTCTCTGGTGTGAGAAATTGAAAATGTAAATAAGAACCAAAATGTACGATAGATACTGTGAAACAGGAAGAAACTGTTCAAAAGGGAAAGGGACTGAGGGAGTGGGGAAGGGAAAAGGAAGGCAGGGAAAGAAAAGTGAGAAAAGAAGGATAAAATGAGAGCAAAGCTTTGTAAATGGGGAGGGCTTTGAAAGGCGGGGGTGGGAATGGGGAAAAGAGGAATCAAGGTATGTCAGGTACAGATGCAAATTCCCTAAATGGAGGTGATCACTACATATACCTGGACTGTAACAAGAGCTTAAATAAAAATCAGAAGCCTGTAGAATATTCTCCAGGAAAAACGCATATGATGCCAAGCCCCAAAGCAACCCTAAGTAAACTTGAAAGGAATGAAATAATATGAAGTATATTCACCAAGTAGAATGGAATGAGAAGGAAATTTGAGAAATGTATAAATCCATGGAAATACATCAGAAGTTATGAGGTATAACTGAAACAAAGGAAAGTCTTCCACTTAAGAAACTATAAAAAATAAGAGCACACTGAATCCAAAGCAAGAATAAGTAATACGTGTTTAGCAGAAACAGGTGGATAGAGAATAGAAAATCAAAAAACCAAAAGTTTCCTTCTTGAAAAGATCAACGAAATTAACACAAATTTAGCTATATTGACTGAGGAATGAAAAAAAGACTTGAACTACTCAAATTAAGAATAAAGAGAGGCTGTCAATATCATTACGGAAAGTAAAAGGGTCACAAGGAAAAACTATGAAAAGTCACAGGCCAGCAAAATAGGTGCCTTAGATAAAGTGTAAAAATTCTTAGGGAGACAAAGCCAACAAAACTGACTCAAGGAAGAAAAAGACTTAAACGTACTTAAAACAAAGTTTTTAAATTAGCAACCTAAAAAATCCCCACACAATAAAAGCCCAGGTCCAAATGGATTCCTGGAGAAGTCTATCGAATATTTGAAGAAAAATTACATACTAATATTTTTTTTAATTTTAAAAATAAAAGGAGGAAAATATTAACAGACAGACAACACTTTACAAAATAGCAAAGGAACAGTACAGACAGTACGGAGTTACAAAGTAGTAGGGAATTAACAATGCTTGTTGTATTACACATTGATATCTTCAAAGTGGTTTCTCATGAAAACAGACATAGACATGCAAAGCTAATCAACCAAGGACTCATTGACAGTTTCTTTCAGCAAGGAAATACAAGACAGTAGAACAGCCATGTTAACTATCCTGCATATACATACATACAAACTTTCTCCTTCTTTCCCTTCTCTTTTCATACTAATATTTTAAAAACTCTCTCAAAAAAAATTAAGAGGATGGAATACTTTCCAATTCATTAGTGAATGCAATGTTGCTTTGATAGAAGACCAGATGATAAACACAGAAATCCTTAATGAAATACCAGAAGGTTGAATCCAGAGACATATAATAATGATATATAGCATGGTCAATTGGAATTTACCCAAGAATTGTCAGATTTGTTAATATTTTAAATAAAATAACACATCATATCAATATATTAAAGGATAAATTTTTCATAATCATGTTAAAACAGAAAAATCCAATACACTTTCTCAACAAAAACACTGAAGAAACTAAAAATAAGGATCTTCCACACTGATAAATGACATCAGTGAAAAATCCACAGTTAACATCACAGTTAATATTGAAAATGGAATGCTTTATGCCTAAGATCAATAACAAAAATGTACTTGGAACTCCTACATAACAAGACATTTAAGCAAAAGAGGAAATAAAAGGTGTGCAAAGTGGGAAGGGAAAAGGAAAAGCTAATCTCAAATGGTATGATCTTGTTTATAGAAAACCCTGAATACACACACACACACACACACACACACACACACACTATATCTAAAAAGTAAATTCAGCAAAGTGCCAAGATCAATAAACAAAATTAATTTAAAAATAAATTGTATTTCTACACATTTGTAATAAACAGCTAAAAATAAAATTAATAAAATAATTCCATATACAATAGTATGAAAAATAATAAAATAAGGATGCAGTTGTAGCTTGCCTGGTGGTATTCATGAGGACATGGATTCAATCTTAGCAAAATAACAATAACAATACCAACAACAATAATAATAGATACTTAGGAATAAATCTAAGAAGGAAATACAAAACTTATAAAATAAAAAGTATTAAAAATCTTTGTTTTTTTATTTTAAAGAAAATACTACAAAAAAAGAACAATAGCAAAATAGAAACAAAACAATGCAAGGACATTAAAAATGATACAGAGTTTCAAACCAAATGATAGAGATTGACAGTAGTTGCTATATCACATATTGTTATCTTCATCGAAGTTGCTCAGATTACCAGATGTAAGAATAGAAGATTGGTCAAATCATTAAAGGGAATAAGAAAATAATAATTTAAAAGAATATTAGAGACAACACATAGTGTCACTAGACAGGATTAATCCAATGGTTGTTGTACTGCAAATTGTTGTCATCACATAAGTTGCTCAGATTACCAGATAGAAGCATGCAAAACTGGTCAAACTATTAAAAAAAAAAACTTTTAATCATTAACTGTTCCCCTCAATAAACCATCAGACACAATAGCAAAATACAAACAAAACAATGCAAGGACATTAAAAATGACACAGAGTTTCAAATTGTTGTCACCACATAAGTTGCTTAGATTTCCTGATATAAGCATGCAAAATTGGTCAAAATATTAAAAAAACTTTTGATCATTAACTGTTCCCCTTAACCAGCGGTACAGTTATGCCACCGATCCATATATATATATAAAACCTTAGTATTTTCTTTTTCTTCTTTGAAAGAAGACTTAAGTGGAGAAAACTTCATTCACATATTGAAAGATTTAATATTAACATCAGATTTAATGTAACTCCTATCATAATCCTAGTTGCCTTTTTTAGAGGACTAGACAAGCTGAACTTACAGTTTATTTTAAATACAAAGTACCAGAAAGCCAGTGCCATCCTGAAAATGAAGGAAGTTGAACTGAATTGTACTTCCCAATTTCCGAACTGATACAATGCTAAACTAATCAAGACTGTGGTACCAACATGAGGATGGACATTCAGATCAACAGAACGGAACTCAGAGTCCAGAACCAAACCCTTACGTTTATCCTCAGCTGCTGTGCAAAGATAATTCAAGGGGAGAAATGATAGTTTTTTCAGCAAACAGTTCTGAGACAACAGGACGGTTGTAGGCAAAACTGAAGTTGAAACCAACCCTTACATGATATACAAAAATTAACCCAAAATGGACTAAAAACCTAAGTGTAAAAGATCAAACCATAAAATGCTCAAAGGACAATAGTATGCATCTTCATGAGGAGGAACCCTCAAACATTACTGGTGGTGTTGTAAATTAATAGCTGCTTTGAAAAATAGTTTGACAATTCCTCAAAATGCTAAACATGGCCCACTAATTTGTGCCTAGGTATATATTCAAAATAAATGAAAACACACATGGCCCCCTGTAAAGTTGCAGTTCATGTTTATATAGCATTATTCATAACTAAAAAGTAGAAAGCAATCTAAGTATCCATTGACAGATAAATGGATTAACAAAATAGAATATTTATGGAATAGAATATATGTGATGCCAACTAGAGACCATACTCATAAGTGAAATAAATCAGACCTGCATGTGCAAGCACCACATTGTCTCACTAGTATAAAACCTGAAAGAGTTAATATAAACTCGGAGGTATGACAGACACTGTGAAATGATAGGAAAACGCTCAAGGGTAAAGGGCAACTGGGATGTGAGAAAAGAAAAGGGAAAGAAGGAGAAATTTTGTATGTATGTACACACAGGATAGTTAACATAGTTGTTCTACTGTCTTCTATTTCTTTGCTGAAAGAAACTGTTAATGAGTCCTTGGTTAATCAATATTGCATGTCTCTATTTTCATGAGAAACCACTTTGAAGATATCAATATGTAATACAACATGCATTGTTAATTTCCTACCACTTTGTAACTCTGTACTGTCTGTACTGTTCTTTTACTATTCTGTAAAAGGTTGTCTGTCTGTTAATATTTTCCTCCTTTTATTTTTAAAGTAAAAAAATAGAATATATGTGATGCAAGAATTCAGCAAAAATCAATGGAAGTATTCTATGAAAAGTAATTCATTATATGAAATTTATAATAAAGATAACACATTATTTTTATAAATCATTTCTATACATGCTTTATATCAATATATTATGTGTATATATATTTATTCCTATGCATACATTTTGGCTTACTCTGTTTCTAACATTATTGAGAAACAATAACATTAGTAAAGATTGATATAAAGCTAGATTGTCAAGGTCACGGAAGGAAGGAAGCAGCCCACAGTGGTAGTTAATGAAGGCTATGATGTTAAGTGGTGACTTTTACAAATTCAAGGTCCCTAAGCACGGAGAAGTTGACAATGTCTCCAGAAAAGGAAAGATTATTAATATAAGAATGATTAAAGATTAAAGAAAAAAACTAACATATAGATTATATTTGTGGATAAATGTTGGAGACCTTTAGGCCAGAGTTCTAAGGAATTTTTTGAAGAAAAACTGTAAGACTGATTGGCAATTACAGATTATTGATCAGATGCCAAGCGTGAATTGAGATAAACAGAATTTTTCAAAGGAAAGTGATTCAAGCAATTGAGACAACAATGTAAAAAATATAAAATGCTAAAGAATACCTTATGGGGCTTTCTAATCTCATTCATTTCAAAGCCTATTAATCTCACAAAGGTCTAGTTCTGCTTAATGCTGTAACAATGGTCTCCCTAAAATGATAACATTACACATATTCCAGCGATTGTTTTGGTAAAATAAGTTTTGTGGTTTTGCTTAATACAATCATTTGATGTTTGGGAGGAACAGAGAGGGAAGAAAGATACAAAATAACCTAAAAGTCATTGTTTCGCTATGTTCAGTTCATCACATAGTAAATGAAAGGTGGAGGTTGATCAGAAGAGGTTTAAAAACATTAGCACTGATACCAATGCTGACGAAGAGAGGAAGCATTAGACTACTTCTTCTTGACGATTTTTAGCTGTACGTGTAATTCCATGGCTGAAATTTAATAACTGATGCTCATGATGACTGTAAAACATACTACTCTGATGATAAAACTGTTGTCATTGTTACTCCAGGTACCCGTTTCTGTTACCTATAATGGAGCCAGAGCATGTGGCCCAAAAAATTCTCAACGCTATTTTAGAGGAAAAAGTTTACGTCATACTACCCAAGTTTATGTATGTTGCATTTGTCCTTAAACAGTAAGTTAATAACGACCTCACTTTCCTTCTGCTCTGAACAAAGTGCTACTTCTTTGATCTAGAAAAGCAACTCCACATATTTTTAACGATGAGAGGGAGACATTTGGGGCTGCAAGGACAATTTACTGAACTATTGCTTGTTGTGTCTTAGTTATTTCAGAGAGTGACAAAGCTTAGCAATCTTCAGGCTTTACAGAGCACACATTTGTTTCAACACAAAAACAAATAGCACCCAAATTATTTGGGAGGCTTTGTGGTTTTGATCTGCTTGCTCACTTGTTTTATATTTTTGGTTTTGGTCAATGTACTTTGACTAAGGTGAGTTCTATTTTGAAAAGAAAACTAAAAGTCCCGATTGTGGTGCAAAAAACTCGTGGGCAAATTCCTCATTCACTTAGGGAAACAGTTCCTACACCTTCCTGTGAGGCCCATGCGTGAGCTCTGTGTATCTATGAATGGTTCAGCCCGAGAACCACATCTAGCATTCACAGAGTGCCCAACACATGCCAGTTACTGTGTTGACGGTTTTGTCTGAATTTTACCACATTTAGAGAATTCGAGGCTCAAAGAGTAATCTTGGCAGGGTTAGGTAGCTAATATGCGTCAGAACAAGGTTTCAAACCAGTTTTCCATCTGAATACCGCGCATAAGCTTTCGCCATGGACCTATATTCCTCCCTGCTGTATGTACACATTCTCTCTCCTATCCAAAATGCTAGGCACCGCAAGAGTTTAGAGTTCAGGTTTCTTCAGATTTGGGAATATTTGTGTAAACATAGTGAGATTTCTTAGAGACTAGACCTAAATGTAAGCCAGAAGTTCATTGATATTTCAGTTCCACTTTACACTCATACCCCAAAGGTAATTTTATACAACATTTTTAGTGTGTCTGCATTTTAACTGTGACTCATCCATTGGGTCAGGTGTGGAATTCTCCACTTGTAGTGTCATGTGGGTGATCAAAAAATTCATAAAGTAGCCTCTTTGACCACGTTAAGGATCTTAACAGACAATAACCTTTTTTCTCTGCTTCTATCTAGACTAATCTCTCCAAAAATGATGATTGCCCTGGGTGAGTACCTCGGAGCCGACACGAGCATGACTTCTTTCAAAGGGCGAGTGAAAGCACACGAACCTCAGACGGAAACGGAGAGGGAATACAAGTAATTGTACCTCCAAAAGTGGCAACCAGATAAAAAGTGTTAAAGGATAGATTATTTGAAATTCCTCCTAACACTTCAATCATTTCAGTCTACCGAGAATCACTGATGCTCTCAGAAGTGTGAGCTTATTCCCAGGAGACAGTTTACATGCTGATATTTTTGTAAGCATTTCACTCATCTATCCAGTTTTCCTGTCATTTTTCAGCCTGATAAGCATCTTCAGCTGATTCTGAGTATATATTTATAAAAACATTAATGTAAATTGGCCCTAGTTTAATTTTTATCAGATACTTTCAGGGAAGAAGTGACTCTTAGTAATAACCTTCTGAATCCGTGTTTTATCATGTTTTTCCATGTGAGATTTAAAGCTACATGTTAATGTTGTATTTAAGAAAAATAACGTCTGCTTTGCAAAGCGAAGGTTTATTTGCATTGCCTCCTAACCCCTACTATGGTTAGATGACCATAGGAGTCACTTGTGCACTTCTGGTTTGTGAACTGAAGTTATCTTCAAATAAAGTCAATAAAACGATATTTCGGTGGATGTACTTGGACGGCCACTCTTCTGAACGTCTATTTTCATGAGAAGTGCGCCGCTTGGCAGCTATGCTCAGAGTTCCCGGCCCTGTGGGCATGAGCACAGGTGCCACGCTTGTCTGTACCAAAGCTGCCATCCGAGGAGAAAATGTGTCTGGACATCTGTGCTGACAGCTGTGTGCGCTGCTACAAGTCCTCGCCCCTGGCCAGGGGGAGGGATGCCTGCTGCTGACTGTCAGTGCAACGGCCCCTGCTCTGAGCCGGCTGCTGCTCTGCAGTGGTGTCCATGAAGGATTGGTTCAGAGGTTCCCACAGACAAAATCTAATGCTCAGGTCTCCTATATAAAAATGGCATCTTCTCATATGCTTTAAATTATCTCTAGATTACTTGTAATATCTAATACAAAGCCTGCACTTCAGAGGTGCAGATCCAATATATTCCTCAACACCCATGTATAGTAGCTCATGCCTGTAATTTCAGCACTCTGGGAGGCTGAAGCAGGAGGATGGTAAATTCAATCCCAGCATAGGCAACTTAGTGACTTAACAAGACCCTGTCTCTAAACAAGAAAATTAAAAAAGGGCTGAGGATATACCAGCAGTGTAAAGACTCTTGGTTCACTTCTCAGTACCAAAAAGAATGGAAGTACTGGGCACTTAGTACATTTAAGTGTGCTTTTTGTAACTTTATGGGATTTTTTTTCTGAATATTTTGTATCCATGGTTGGCTGTAAATGTAAGTGCAAATAGGGGACCAACTGATTTAACAGCTGTCCACATAACTTTGCCCTAAAGTTCACATACTGTTATGAAATCTAACAAAAGCAGCAGCACTGAATTGATTTCTTTCCACTAAGTTCTCTAAAACTACTGGATTATGACAAAACTTGCCACCTCACCAGCACTCTGCACTTAATTCTTACTACAAGTACGTCAACTTGGGAAAGTAAAGGTTCATCTGGAGGTGTGTGACTTTGAAAATGAACATGTATATTTGCAACACATCAATATTATAATTGGTAACTACCTCACCTTACAAAAGCCTTCTTAACCATTGCATGAAAAATGCTAAAAATGATAATAATTAAATATGTGAAAACAGTATTTAATAATGAATAGCCATCTTAAATGCTTATGAGGCAAAAGATCGTGGTGATTCTATGGAAATCTTCCAAGGATTTTGAAAAATTACAGTACTTTATTTTGCCTACACTGGTTTTTTAAAAATAAGCCTTTTGTTTTCCTTAAAACTGGAAGGAAGACAGATTTGGGCTTCACATAAAAAGAAAATGTCTAATAATAACAGCTGTCCAGGATTAAAATGACTGATTTGAGTGTACAGAGCTTTCCATTTCTGAAAATCAAAGGAAGTTATTGACGACATCATTTGGCTAATTTCCAATCCTCAACATCGTCAGGAGTAGCAAACGCTTTGAGCTCATTTTTGCAATAAATCTTTATTTCAAAACTAAGCGGAAAATGTAAATCCTTATGAAATACCAAAAGCACAAATAAAACGCAGTAAAAGAAAACAGGAGATTTTGAAAACAACTGCAGAATTTGGAAGAAAAACAATGAAAGGAAAGAGGAAAAGATAAGAAAATGGAGACATCTTTTCTTAGAAGAATTACGGCGCAGGAGGAAACCTGCCTTTTTTCAGAGAAATTTTAGAAGTTTCTTGGAATGAATCTTCCCTGAAATAAGAAGCAAAATCAAGAACAGCAAGTGGTCCTTAGCCCGCAGTCCACCTTTGGTTTACTGAAGAGGAAATATTTAGGGCTAGGTCTGAACAGTTCACTAAGTCAGAAGGGCTTTAGAGGGAGTGTGAGAAAGAAAACAGTGATAAACTAGGCAGATAGGAGAGGAGCTCCGAAGAAGCGACACACCTCAAAATGAGCAGTGTACTGTGTTTCTGTTGTGTGTTGTGTGGGATGGCTTATCTTTCCTCTCTGTACACAAGATTTTCCAGATAGTGCCCTGTAGAGATGACTGTGTTTGGGGTGGTACAACTAGCAACGTCGAGTACGGCCTTCAAGTGCATCCAGAATGAAAGCAGAGTCTGCCCAGTAAGGCCCCCCAGGCCTATATCAAGTGGATAACAGAAAGAAAGGAAGGAAAGGATAGTGTGGACGTTACACAATTTTATCTCCAAGTGAAGAGAAAGATGCCACCAGAAAAACCACAGGAGCAGGAGCAGGAGCAGGAGACAGATCCCTGGGGCTCTGTGGTCCCATCAGATTGGAGGCTGTCCAGTGGAGGGGTCTGAGTGTTGGGGAGAACAGCCACACAAAGGTGGGATGAGGTTCAGAGCCCAGTACAAAATAAGCGTGGGACCCTTTCATCAAAAAGCAAAGGGAAAGGGCCAGAAAAACAGCAAAATTGACAGCTTCTCCTTTAAAAAATTGTTTCACTTATAAAATATACTAATGATCATTCCAACAAATAGGAAACAACATGAATTTACAAGTGAGAAAAATATAATTATATTGTTTCATAATCTTATGTAGTATAACAAATAGTTGCTTATGAATGTGATGAATTAGTCATAATTTCGCGATTAAATTTGGAGGAGCGCACTGAGCCTTGAACCCAGGACTTTCAAACTGAGTTATATGTCCACTCCTTTTTTATTTTTTATTTTGACATAGGGTCTTACTAAGTATCTGACTCACAGTTTAGCGACTGCATTTGCTAGACCATCAAAATCTATAGTTTCAGCAACTTAATTTCATTAATATAATTGAAAACAACGTCTGTCATTCTAGGTAAATAAAAGGTTGCAGATAATTTTTAATTTTGAGAAAGAACTTTCTGTTAATACTACTCTTAACAGAGTATTACAAGCGAGGACAACATAGAGAAACATACAGAAATGAAAGTAATGGGTTTTTTTCTATCCCCTGCAACAATCTTTAAGTTTAACTTATATCTCCTGGCCTGTGAGCATTTGCTTCACAATGCAACAGCAATTTCCAGACAGAGAATTTCTAACTCTTTGAAGAATTCTAATGCCTCTTTGATATACTTTCTTGAAATGTCTGAAAGTACAATTTTATTTTATATTGACTTACTGACAAAGTTTACTGGTTAAGCATTGGCAATTACTATTTTAGTGCTCAGATGGGAGAGTTAATATTTGTGCAGCTACATTCAATAATACTTGGTCTTTGACAAAAGGAGTCAAAAACATACATTGGAGAAAAGATGTTCTTATTAATAAATAGTGTTTGGGAAACCGTCCACATGCAGAAGACTGAATCTAGACCCATGTCTCTCACCATGTACTAAACTCAAATCAAAATGGAGCAAAGAACTAAATGTCAAAACAGAAACACTCAACCTTCTGGACACGTAGAGAACTCAAAAACTTAGATGCCCCACAAAGTAAAAGATCAAAATAGGCAAGTAGAATGAACAGACCAACTAGCAGCTTGTCCAATGTCACACACACAGCGAGGGACAGAGCTAGATCTCGTAGTGACCACCCTCTCTCTAACTTAGGCTGGTCCCAGAGGATAACTGTATGACACTTGCTATTCTCCAGTACAGAAAATTTGCAAAGCAAACTGATCTGGTTAATTTTGGGCAAGGCTACTATAATTCCTAACCTACTTCTGCAAAACCAAAGCTATAAAATCTGCTAAATAAACTGATTTCCAAAGTTTTAACATCAACATCATGACCTTGACTTTTTCTGCTTGGTAGTTTTACTCAGCTGTGATTTACACTGACCCTGCAGTTTATGCAGCATACACTGACATCCTCCAGTACCTTTGACGCTTAAATGCCTCAGTAGACAAGTGATGATAGAATACTTCGACATGATTATGCTACCAGCCTCTAAGCACTAGCCAGTAGTTCATTTTCCTCCTGAGTTTCTGCCGAGTCAATTTTTATAACTTTTCAGGCCACCTTCCCTTCCTTCTCTTCTTCCCTACCTGTTATGATTTGGATCTTAAATGTTCCCCATATGCTAAAGGCTTCACCACCAGCCTGTGGCACTGCAGGGAGATGGTAGAACCTTAGAAGCTGGGGCCTAGAGGAAAGCAGTTGGGCCCTTTGGGGCGTGCCCTTAAAGAGAATTTTGGAACTTGGCCTTCCTTTCTTTCTCTGCTTCTCAGCCACCATGCAGTAAGCAGCTCTGCTCCACCATGTGCTCCCCACCATGATGTTCTACCTCAACACAGGCCCAAAAGCAATACAGCCAAGAGACCACAGGCTTAAACCTGTGACACCACAAGCCAAAATCTTTCCTCTTTTCACTGATTGTCTCAGGCATTTTTCCAGAGTGATAAAAAGCTGACTAATATAGCATCCATCCCCAGGACCCCACTACTCAGGAGCAGGTAGCTTTCAGGAAAAGCTAGGCTGAGTTCCAAACTTACCCTCAAATAGTACATGAGTAAGGACCCAAAGGGGGAAAAGGAGAAAGTCAGGTACACTGCTGCTGATCATGGCGGGAGTCAAGTGCCCCTGATCATATTTTGGGGAAAATAGACCTTTCTGTGTGACAAAGCTAAGTAAGTGATTCTCCAGAAGTCATTACCAGTATCATTTTGTGAATTGTGAAGATAAGATCCAGGCATGACATATGCAAAAACCATAACTATAAATTCAATAATGAAGACGTTCTCTGAGAATGAATCTATCTCAAGGATATGAGTTTATTGTTAGACATTTGACCAATCAATTAAGTCTGAAGGTTCCAGGTTATTTGACTCAGAGATGCACATTCCCGCTGCACATGGAGTGCTTACCATGGGGTGAATGGAGAGGATGGAGAGAATTAGGGTGGGGAAGCGAGAGACCAGGCCCAGTGTGAAAACCTCTGGTTCCGGTGGGTGGGAAGAGAGCACGTCCCCTGCGTCAGTCTGCAGCCTCCTGCTCCTCCTCGGCCAAGGGTGTGATCCGCCACACTCTGCACATCTCTGGAAGCTGGCAGCTGGCCTCCAGCACTTTGGGTCCCAAAGGGCCCACAGGGAAAGTTCACAGGGTCTGTGCCAAGAAGGCC